TCAATGACCTCGAGGAAGATGTGATGCTACTGCTACTATGAGGACGAGGCACCGGTATTGCCCCCTACATATTCCTTCAAGTGACCATGGCGAATAAGGGACTCGATCTCATTCTTGAGCTCGTAGCAGTCCTCGGTGTCATGGCCGGTGCCGTGGTGGTACTTGCAATACTTTTTAGGATTACCCCTCTTCGGTTTCCTCTTCATCTTGGTCAACCACTTCATGTATTCCTCCTTTCCTACTAGCATAAGGATGTATTGGGTGGAGTTGAGTGGCATGTACTTGTTGAAGGATGGGGCTAGCAGCTTCTTGTCAGTGTCCTTGTTGTTGTTGTGGTGGTTGTGGCCACGATTGTCTCTATCCTTTCTCTTCTTCTCTGAGGCCCCTCGGTTGGGGTTGGCCTCGTTCTCTTGGAGGCACTCACCGGTCGAGGCCTCCTCGGCAGCGATGTACTTCTACACCTTCTTCAGAAGTTTTGCCTTGTTCTTAGGCGGCGCCTTGGCAATGAACCACTTGAGGGGTCCAGGATGAAGGCCATCGATTGCTATGTGCATGGATACTAAGGGGTCGAGGTCTCGGACCTCAAGCTCTTTTTTCTTGAAGTGGTTGATGTAAGACTAGAGGCTCTCTCTACATTTCTATTGGATCGACATAAGGGAGATGATGGTTTTCTAGCACCGTCAGCTGCTGACGAAGTGGGAGAGGAAGAGGTCGGCAAACTACTCCCACGAATTGATGGACTGAGGGGGAAGTGCGAAGAACCATCTGCGTGCCACTCCCTTGAATGTCGCCTAGAAATCTCGACACATGAGAGCATTGGAGTACCCATAGAGAAGCATGAGCGCTCGAAAGCTTTCCAAGTGGTCACTCGAGTCGATGGTTCCATCATATGTCTCCAGTGTGGGAGCCTTGAAGTGAGGTGGGAGCCGCTCCAAGGTGATGGAGTCAATGAAGACATCCATTATGGCGCCGATCTATGCCTATAAGTCACTGATCTGTCTGTCAATGGGGGCCTGGGCTTCGTCTTGGTCCTCTTGGACGCAGAACAGGTCAGCCTGATTCCTAGAGATCTTCGACGGCTTACTGGCACGTCGGCTACTACTATTGGACGCTGAGGGGTCGTCTTTGCGATGGTCGAGGGGGAGTTGGACTAGCGTAGCATGAGTAGAGCATTTGTTGTACTGCCCCTAGCTCCCAACGGGGCAGCTACCTTGTGGGTGGCCTCATGTCGGGCGCCCCACCTCGTCCAATCTCTGTGTTATGTTGTCTAGTCTGTATAGGACTGTTCAGAATTGGTCCGTAGTAACCAAGTTTTGAGCATTTGGATTGTTATTTTGTTTATTAGCCATTGTTGAAAGCTTAGTTGTTTTTGAATTAAGTGTTCACTTAAGGGAAAGTCTTAGCAACGTATCTCACAGACGGCGCCAATTGTTGTTGCCAATGATGGACTGAGGGCAACAAGGTAAATTCACTTCCTTAGCCGAGGGCTAACGTGTTTGAGGATAAGAGAGCATACCAAAGACTCTAGGTGTTATCCCAAGGGTAGAGACTCTGATGGTCAAGTTAGTCAAGTACGCATGAGGTCTCCGACAAGGTCTGAGGTGAAAGCTCAGACGAAATCACTCAAGAACAAGAGAGCTTAAAAGCAAGAATTAATAAGATAATTTACCTTGAGAGGGGCACCTCTATTTATACTTGACTTTGCCGTAGAAGTGGTTAGAGGTGATTGACAGCAGACGACCAAGATTGCATCTGGCCGATGCCATGTGACACCATCCTAGCCCTGCCACATGCGCCTACCTACATCAATACCTTATGAAGGAAAATTAATAACACAAGGAAGTGTGCACAGTTTAATACAGCGGGTTGAACACCTGCAAAATCTTTGACGCAGCTTCAGAATCTCTTCCACACATTGAACACCTGCAAAATAAAATAAAAAAGGTGCCCAAATTACTTTGAAAGGTAGTCTTCAACAGTAGGATGTTTAGATGTAGGTCCACTTAAAGTAATGGTACAGCTGGCTGACAGTCTGGAAACCCCTGCAACCCAAGAATTTTCCGATTATCAACGATTCGGTGGAGGCCAAGAAGCCAAAGCTGGAAATGTCAGTGAATGCTGATGGCAGTGGCGATTTGGACCAGGAGAACCGACCCTTCTCTGCACTGCCCGTGAGAATCGCACCATTCGTCGCTCTCCCAATACCCTTGCCGCTTTCTAATATACTCACATTTTAGTGAAAGCTACCAGTTGCATTCTATGGATGGGAGTGCTACTAGCATGGGAGCCATGAACCGTAAACCCAGAAAGAAAGAAAGAAGCAGACAAATCCATTCCAACAGCTTCATTCTTGCCATTTCCCTTAACCTAAATCCTCAAACTCCAAACGATCACTTCAAAATCATTCAGGTACAGTATTCGACGACACTGATTATTAACCCATCAAATGATTTTTTGGGGGGGCATTTACAGTTCAGTGTACCTCATAGGGGTGGTAATCTAATTTCCGTGGTATAGTGCCGCAATTCTTTATACTCTTCTCAAAGATGGATTTGGAACCATTATTAGCAAGGCTTGAAACCGCATCGCGTTTGGGGCTTTCCCAGTTACGTGCCAACTGACCCACCGCTCCATTGGTACCCCATCAGATGATTCATTGCGTATATGTGTTGATTATGCTTCCAATTTCCCATAAAATAAAATCTGTCAAGAATTAAAATTTTCCCTAAATTTAAAACGCAGAAAAGTTTCACAAATTATTTTGCTTCATGTTTTATTCTACTTACTTAACACTGCAAACAAAGAAACTAAGATGAAGGATGATACAAAAATAAACTAGAATTTGCACTCAATTCATTTCCACTCACAATAATACAGAAGCCCCCACTGACATGTGCTTATGGTATTGGGCAATTTTTCACCCCTATCAATAAAAATAATACTTTTAATATAATAACTTTTATAAAATAAAATCAAATAAGGGCACTGTAGTGCTGTCCCCTCTTTAAACCCTTAGATTGTGCGGCAAAGACCTTCAAATGGAAGATCTAAGTGTCACATAGAGAAAGAGAGGAGGGTGGTGTGGTGGTGGTGGTGTGGCAACAAGAACTGAGAGAGAGAGAGAGGTTTGTGTTTATAGGGGTGTTGGATATACACTCTGTATACCTCGATGGATTCAATTTAGATGCAAATTCTCAATGGTAGAATATCATTGGAATAAAACAAAAAGTGATTGGTTTATTCATTGGTCTGCCCCAAATACAGGTGATGATGTTCACGGATTCAATTTAGATGCAAATTCTCAATGGTAGAATATCATTGGAATAAAACAAAAAACGATTGGTTTATTAATTGGTCTGCCCCAAATACAGAGTGTGATGTTCACTGCAAGTGCAGAAGTGTGATGTTTATGATACGTGCAAAATTGTGATGTTCAGAAGTTGTAATGTAGTTGATTCACCAATTTGTAGTTGTTTGAATAGATTCACACCCAAGTCTACAGAGGAGTGGAGTATGGGAAATTGGTCCAATGGGTGTAAGAGGACTCAATTACAATGTAAGAGAAATAGCAACAACAATGAAAAAGAGAAAGCAGATGGATTCTTGGTCTGTCGATGATCATGAGAAACAGTGTAGAGAGTAGTGTTTAAACAACTATTTTTGTATAGCTTACGCTTTTGATGACAACATAAGGTGTATGTCTTGGAACAAAAATTTAATCGATTTGCAGAAATTATCTACTGGCAGAGTGAACCTTTACATTCGTTTAGCTTATTTAGAACTTGGTGGCAAGATCTGAGACTGGAGGTGGGGGAGGTTTGTCCCACTGTTCGATACTTTCAGAAGAGGAAGAAGGTGAACAGTGCCCTTATTTGATATTTTTCAAAAAAAAAAATTAATGTGTTTTAGAAATTATATTAACAGAGTTATTTTTATTGATATTAAGGACAAAAAGTTGCCAGATAGAACCCTTGTGTATTTGGCTGCTTGTAAGGAATACTTGGGAATTAGAACCAATTCCTATCTTCACCAAGACGATGGAGCGTATTGTTGGATGCTTGGACAATTCTCCCACTTCATATTGATCCAAAAGACCTGTCAACTTTCAAGGGACTATCATTTCTAGCCCACCCTAAAAGCTTAGCTTGATCGGTTGATCCAACCCGCAAATTTCCTAAGTATGAGCCCAGATTCTGTGTCCAGGCCTAGGCTGTAAAATTATCTCATTGTTTGATCATCAGTCTGATGTGAAGGCATTAAAAATCAAATGATTTAGAATATTGTGCAAAATCCAGAAATACAAATCGAATGGCACAAGAAAATGAAACAAAACAAAGATACGAGAAGCAAGAGAAGAAAAGAAAATCAAATCACACAAATTTGTGATTCAACCTTGGGCCTATGTCCATAGGTGATGGAGGAGAATAAATCCACCAAAGGAAACTGCAATAGAGGACACAAGGTTGAACTTCTCACACAATCCTAAACTCCTAACAACCTGAAGCACTCACTCTCACTGTCCTGTTCAAGCGCAACACAACGAGATACATATCAGAGAGAATAACGGCTCAGTTTTAACAGCAAATTGGAGCTGCATTAAATTTATATATGAATTAAGAATCCAACTACCGTGCATTTTGAATAGTTATTGCATGTTAAATCAAAATTTCAACCAATCACGTCATTAAAGACTTAATAACGTTAAATATGTTACTGTGGCATGTTGCTTTATCACTGCTTTGTTCATATTTTGAGTTATGTTGTAGCAATTTTCATGGAATGCACCGAAGATTTTACCATGAATTAAAAATCTTTTTATTTTGAAAATGATTCTTTTCATAATCCACAATTACCCAATACAGCACTCTGGAGCATTCTATGTGGAATAAAGATGGTCTTAGTTACCAACTTTAGATCAAACTTGGTCGATGAAGAAATAAGAACAGGGCAGCCGATTTCATATTTTCATTTTACGATAATAAATTGTAAGGAGTCAATAATGCATTCTATGCCATCCGGCTTTTTAGTTTATCATTAGGTGGATGCAAAATGCAAATCAATGTATATAAACTAAGTTTAGCCACCTGGAAGAAAGAACAAAAATGTAAAGGAGAAAAAATAATCTACTAGTCAAGTTCCTCTAGATTCATTCTGCTTCTTCTAGCTAAATAAAAAATAATTCCTTAGACATAGCTATAATTTCCCCAGTCCCAGATGGAATATGTACCAACTCTTCAGTTACCATGTCAGGAATCTGTCTGAAAAACCTTTATCCTGTATATAAGATGAATGTATTGCCAACCTACTTCAAGTAGACGTTCCTTCTTCCAGGGAAAATCTCTTGAGGATTGCTACAGTCTCTTCCAAGGCACTGTGAATACCAAGAAAAGCACGTTAAAATTAACCATTTGCATCCAGACATTACCTCAAAGAATGAATGCTGAAAGAGTGTTAACTACTCAGCACAATAACAGGTATCATGGAGTGTCTTTTATTCATTTTCCATCCTTTCCACCAACTACCCACAAAATGGGTGCTCAGGCTAGGGATAGAATATCACTGTCTTTCTAGGCATAGCCCATTGAATGATTTCTCCTTAACTGGTTTGACACATCTACTATAAAAGTACATAAGAAACTAAATGACTTATTTGTTGTAGTAGTGATGGCAAATAGTCACTAAGGATTTTATGTATGACAAGCTTGTCTAGAACACAACAATGAAAACAATGGTTTCATGAAGAAATTAAGCAAGCAATGCTAATCCTTGTATAAGACAATTTGTTAAAGTGGAAAGCTCCTAAGGTGCCCAACCATATTCATAACAGGACTGAGTCATAACAAGATCAGTCAGCAAAAATCAACAAACAATAGAGCATGAATGAGAAAACTAAAATATAACCTAATCAAGGTTTAAAAAATTGATATACTTGGGGAGAAAAGTCAAGCCAACTCAAGCTGATTGAGACATGCAAGGAAGAAATTGGTCAACCCCAAACCAACTTCAGAAGCTTGAGAGAGGTTGGGGGTGCAAACCGGTTACCTGATTTGAAGAATTTCCACTGCTACAGGGTTGGGTCTATTCAAAAGTTAACAAATCATCAACCCAGGCCCATCCAAATTGCACCCACGGAGAGTATCAAATCCAGATATGGATTTACCCTGATTCTGGCCTCATGGAGAATCAATATGTTTTGTGCTTTTATAACCTCACCATTATATTGAATCTGACTGACAAAATTCTAACCAGTTGCCCTAAAGGAAAATAATTCTGAAAAGCTCATACAAATTCATACCTTCCAGGTCTGAGGATCTTGTACTTCCCTTGCTTTGTGAGGTCCACAACTGTTGATCCAGCACGTCCTGAAGGAAGCATGCCCCCATCATACACATATGCACAATGCTCCCAAAGGTTCTCAAAATCTTTGATGCAGATACTACTAGACTGCCCACTTAAATTTGCACTTGTAAGAGCTAGAGCACTTCCAGAACCACAGGCAATGGCCCGAATAAAGTTGGAATCAGGAACTCTGACTCCTATACTATCCAATCCTGGGTTCAAGGACTTCTCAAGGATACTAGACTCCCCTGCCAAAAATAAGGCCAAACATCTAACTTCCAAGTTCCAACAATGAACAAGAGATACTAAAGAATAGAAGTGGGCATACTAATTTTCAATTACCATGAGAAGTTTTGAGCTAGCCTAGCAATTCATAAGGTAATCCACTAAGTGGCATGGCTAAAAAAAGTTTGCATGATCTAATTCTCTCTTGTATTTGGATTACTATTATCATTGTGGTGTATTCTTTTAACATCATCTCTTGCATCATAGGGGACAGGTCCTTTACAAATCAACAACAAAAGATTAAAAAAAAATACATACCTCGCATTAACACAACAGTGACAGGTCCTGGAAGAAGATTATCAAGCAACTCATGAGGCAAATGGTCTGTGACAGCAAAGCGCTTTATGTCTGATACATCTCCAACACATATTGCTAGAGGGCTTGTGTATTTACGCCCTTTGATCTCATAAATTCTATTTACTGCTTCTGTAGAACTGTAATGAATGTCCTCACACAGAGAAAATATTATTATTTCAAATTGCAGACCTAAACATAAAAGGTAGCCTAAGTCATCCATGAGATTGTATTTTTTGATCGGCATCCATGAGATTGTATTGCTGAACAAAACATAGACTGGTCATGAAATTTCATGACTGTCATGTGAACATATTTATTGCTCTAATAAAATAGCTAGAGAACTCTTTTTTCTTTTCTGGTTGAGAAAATAATTGTTCCTTAATTCAGCTTGGGAGTTGAGAAAATAATTTTTGGAGAAAAACATAATTTCATTCAAAACAAAGTTTAGATTCTGATTAAGACTATGATAGTAATCCCCTTTTCTGTTAACTTTTGGGATCTTCGTGAAAAGAAAATTGTTAACTTTTCTTCCCATATTCATAACACTTAATTCTATGACATTTGACCAGTGAACTTGTTCTTAGTTTTATGTTTACATTTTAGACTAAGATAGCAATCCCGTTTTGTACAGATTCTCTGTAACTTTAAGTTCAGGGTTATGATAGCTCCTCAACAAAGTAACAAGTTGAATTGTAAATTCCAAACAAGAAAAGAAAGACAAATAGCAGAAGAATAAGTGCGGATTTTGAAACTCTTAAGATTTGGAATAGAAATGCAAAACACATAATGGATGCATTTAGCCAATAACTTAAAGAAATAATAGGGAAAATAGGAGAAAGAAGATTTAATAGCTTACCACGCATCACAGGCAAACCCATAAAGTGTATCTGTAGGCACTGCAATGACTTTTCCAGATCTGATTGCTTCAATTGCATCTTCAGTGTGAACCTCCTCTGCTGTAAGGACCACCCCAGTCTTAACTTCTAAAGCTACATCGTTTCTCTTTCCTTCACAAGCCATTTTCTTTACGAAAGCGCCTCCCAATTTCCTATTTTGGTGAAAAAAAGAGAAAAATCCCAACTTGGGCATACCTGAAATTTTAGACAATTGCCATATAAATGTTATTAAACTTACAACTAACGGGATAGAAACTAGAAAAACGAAACAGTTCGTTAGGAAAAGATTGGTACTGAAGCAGAGTATCAGTAAAATGAAACAAAAAAAAAAAAAGAGAAAAGAAAAGGCGAGATAGGCAGGAAGAGAAAAGAAAACAAAAATCAAGCTCAGAATCTGAAAGAAGAGGAATCAAAATTATTGAAATGGGTAAAGAGAGACGTCAATATCCAAAATAGAGCATACCATAAAATTTTGGGGGTAGGACGCCATGAAATAGATTCATAGCATGGAAACAGAGAATATGTAAGTCAGTGAGTGTGTGTGAGAGAGAGAGAGAGAAAGATAAACTAACAGATTTCTAAAGAGCACCTCTGAAAGAGGGTGGGCGGCAACCTTTGTGCAACTTTTGCAGGAAAATTCATATCGCCTTTTCCGAATGCTCAAAAAAAAAAAAAAAAACTCATCAATCAAATAAAATAGACCCCAACTCCTAAGACCATCCGTTTTTTCTCCCGCCGCTGGCTTTTCATACCACGCGGGCAATCAGGCGCAGATTGGGTTGGGCTAACAAGGCACGACCTGGGCTTAGCGTTAATAAAGTCGAATTTGTTGAAACTTGAAGGCCGTAGGGAACTAACCGTCGGATTCAACTAAAAGATTAAAATATAATTTTCAATCCGAACCGAACCGGAGGTCGAATAGGCTTAATGCAGATTTATGATTTTCACTGCGAATTTATAAATATTCAACAAAAGGTCAAAACACTACACTCTATGCATTCATACCCGTATAAAATCTGACCCTGGGTTGAAACTTTAAAGTATAATTGTGTAAGTGTTATATATAAGGATATAGATGGAATAATGAAGTTGTTAAACCTATTCGATCATGGGAGTATCATTTGCCTTTGGCCGATCCATCAGTAAGGATCACCCACTAAACTAGAGAATCATAGCATTTGGCAGTTTTATGATTCTACCATCCAGCCAAAAAGCCAATTTATCATGGGTCCAACGGTCCAACCATGATGGCTGTTCAGTTGACTGGGAAATCTGAACCAATGATAATGTTCTGTGCCAATAATGAATTTATGGGCCTCACTGTGAAAAGTGGGGATTTCACTGATGTGGAACATTATCATTAGTTCCACAGCGTGCTGGTGTATTCTTTTTTCATTGGGGGGCTGGTGAATTGTTCTACTACTTTGGTTGCAGGTAATGTAAGATCTCATCATATAAACCATAAATGGCAAAGAGGTGGGGGTAGGGCCAGGTTTTGCATACCCCATCACTAACCCCGAATTCAAATACCTTACCACATACTCCAGTGGAGCTAGAAATCCAAACCCTATCTTTATCCCCTTAAGGAATAGGGTCCCTAAATTTGCACTGCCCCTCTCCAATCATTTCTACTTGTAAGCCTATTTCTTTTTTTTTTATTATTTGAATACTATACGTAAGTACACACACGAGCAGGGCCGGTTTTGCATACCCCATCCCTAACCCCAAATTCAAATACCTTGTCTCATTCCAATGGAGCTAGAAATCCTAACCCCATTTTTATCAGCTTGGATCCCCTAATTTGCAATACCCCTCCTTGATCATTTCTTCTTTAAGCCTACTTTTTTCTTTTCGAAAACTACACACTTTGAATTGAGACGGGGGATAAATACCATTCCCTTGTTCCCAATCACCAGAATTTTGGGTCTTCCTGCAAAAACCTGCCATGAACCTAACTAGTGGTCTAAAAACCCACCCCAATCAAGGTGGGGGCAAAACCCTGAGATGGTGGATCAAATTGCCATCTCTAATATAATACAAACCAGCTCTGTTGAGTGCTGACAGTTAAGCCACAAATATTCATTTAAGAGTTTTATAATCAAATTAAAATTTTGAATATGTATTTCATCCATCATCTAAGGACTAAAATTTTTCTGTTTTACGTCATGTAAAAGGGAAAAAACATAAAACGATTTGGATGTGAATTAAACCTAAATCATTAAAATTGACTAAATTGGAGGGTGGTTTGCAAGGAATTAAAATTGGATGGATAGTGATGAAGGAATTAAAATTGCAAGGAATTAAAATTGGGTGGTTTGCAAGGAATTAAAACAGCTCGGCACGGCAGTACGCTCAAGGCGCGAGCTCCGAGAGGAACTAGCAGTCCGAGCTCCTCAAAAGGAGCCCGAACTCTCCCTTTGACCCCGAGCCTTACGAGGAGCGCAAAGGGCAACAACCCGAACTGGCCCACCCCAGGGCAGTTCGGGCCACACCTCTATCTGAACTCAAGACTTCACCTCGCACACCACTCCAGCACTTCGTCTCCAGGCTGCCGAACTGAACAACCGTACCTGACACCAAAGGAGTCCGTAC